AGAAATCAGGATAGATGTTTTCATGGCAGCTGGCCGGTTCAGACTATTACAGTTGCAAAATGAAGCTGATGCTAAGATTTCTGGCAGACTAAAAGATAAAGAAGAAAGCAAATTGGATCACACTGTTTTGGGTTACAGAAAAGATACAAACATATCTGCAAACATAATTTTGTCTTAAACTAAACCTCAGGAGAAATGGGTTAATCACACAAATTTTTCCCTGAAGCACTGTAAGTGATACAGAGGGGACAGTCTCTGTTTCATTATGATGAAATTATTATAGGTAATATTTGTTGAGTACTTACTATGTGACTGGTTCTAAGTGCTTATTTATTTATTTTTACCTTTTGACCTCCTTCACCCATTTCTCCCACCCTCTACCCTCTGCCTCTGGCAACCACCAATCTGTTCTCCGTATCTATGAGCTTGGTCTTTTTCTTTTTTTTTTTAGAACCCACATACATACATTATTTGTCTTTCTCTGTCTGACATTTCACTTAGCATAATGCCTTCAAGGTCCATCCGTGTTGTCACAAATGGCAAGATTTCATTCTCTTTTTATGGGAAAGAAATATTTCATTGTATATATACATCACATTTTCTTTATCCATTCATCCATCAATGAACACTTCCATATAGCTTCCATATCTTGGCTATAGTAAATAATACTGCAATGAACACAGGGCTGCGTACATCTATCTTTTTGAATTAGTGTTTTTGTTTGCTTTGGATGGGTACCCAGAAGTGAAATTTCTGGGTCATATAGTAGTTCTATTTTTAACTTTTTGAGGAAACTCCATACTGTTTTACATAGTGGCTGTACCAATATACATTCCTGCCAACAGTGCACAAAGGTTCCCTTTTCTCCACATCTTCGCCAATACTTGTTACTTCTTGTCTTTTTGATAAAAGCCATTCTAACAGGTGAGAGGTGATATCTCATTATGGTTTTGATTTGCATTTCCCCGATAATTAATGATGTTGAGCATATTTTCATGTACCTGTTGGCCATCTGTATGTCTTCTTTGGAAAAACATCTATTCAGATCTTCTGCCCATTATTCAATCAAATTGTTTGGTTTTTTGTTGTTGAGTTGTATGAATTTTTTTTATATTTTGAGTATTAGCCCCTTATCAGCCCCTTATTTGCAAATATTTTCCTCCATTCAGTAGGTTGTCTTTTCATTTTGTTGATGGTTTCCTTTGCTGTGCAGAAGCCTTGTAGTTTGATATTGTCCCATTTGTTTATTTTTGTTTTTGTTGCTTTTGTTTTTGGTGTCAGATTCAAAAAATCATCACCAACACCAATGTCAAGGAGCTTGTCGCCTATGATTTCTTCTAGGAGTTTTACAGTTTCAGGTTTTATGTTCAACTCTTTAATCCATTTTGACTTAAGTTTTGTGTATAGTGTAAGATAGTGATTTGTATAGTTATATCTTCAATATTATATTTGAAGTAGGCTGTGAAAGCCGGATTAATTTATGTAATCAGAAAAATGAAAGAAGTAATTGATGAGTAGGATGCCCCCAGCTATTTGCCTCTCTGGCCTCTTCCCCTGGACCCTCTGCTCAGAGCTCCTTCTTCCATGATGCTGATCCACTCTAGTTCCCATGTTCTTCATGCCTTCATGCTCTTTAAAATATTTTCCATCCCTGGAATATTTTTCTTACTCAAAATTCCTGCTCATTTTTCAAAACTCTGAAAAAGTGTCATCTTTTCTGTGTTCTCACCTTAACTAGCCACTTTCCCAAAAGATTTAATCACTCTCTTTTGGACTATTCTTGTGCTTTCTATGTATATATATATATATATATATATATATCACACTGCCAGGTGATTATTTATAAAGATTTTAGTCTTTCGCATTAGGACATAGAATATTTGGTGGTTGAGAATATTCTATAAAAAATGACCTTGACCTTCTAGTGACTTGCACAGTGCTTAATATAATGACTCATAGTAGGAACTGGTTGGACTGGCCTATGTAAAGTGATAGGTATTTCCATCTTAAAGTCATTGATTAAAAACATCGCAATATTTACCACCTACTTTTTTGTTTTCATAATGTGGCCTCTAGCATTCTAGAGCCACCTAAAAAAAAAAGGGGGATTCCTTCTTTCTCCCAAGAAGAGTCCTTTAAGCCAAGGAGGCCCTGTGGGTTCTAAATTGCAAATTTATTTGAAGGTACATGTGGAGCTTCTGAGAAAATATATGGACAAAAATAACATTCATTCTGCTTTATTGAGGCCAAGATTAGATCAGTGAATTATCATGCTGGATTTGCTACTTTCTTTTCTCTTTAAAATAATAAAATGTTTATGTTTGCTGTAAGAAGCATTCATATAGCCTTTAACAAAGTTCTGTAATATATACATTTAAAGGGCTAAACACACAGGGAGTGATTTGAGAGAAATGCCCCAAGATAATTTGAGGAATATGTATTGTTGCTGAAGCTCACGAAGATATTTTTTTCGTGAAAACAGATCTTCATTAAAGACATGTTAACGGTCAGATTGCTCAAGGCAAATATTTCAGAGACAGAGAGAGAGAGCAAGTTCCTGACTTTCCATCCTCATTGGGGATGCATGTTGAAGAGTGGTTCTCAAGGAGGGATGGGTGTTTGGAAATGTGTGGGAATGAAGTTTTTAGATTTTTTGTGGGGGACATAATTGACCTTTAGTGGCTGACATCCAGGAGTGACAAATATCCTACACAACTAAGATATTCCTTCACAAAAAGGACTTGTCCCAGCCAAAATGCTAGTAATGTTCCCTTGAGAACTACAATGGAATGTGGCCATAACTAGTTGCCAGTTTGGTCTGACAAAATGAAAATGAATGCTGGTTAGGAACAGGCTAGAGTGAGTGGTACGTCCTCAACAACGTAACATAATCACCCAGCTGCAAGATTTGGTTCCTGTTCCGGGAAGCTATCAAAAGAGTAAGAATGTAGAATAGAAAAATAAAATCTAAATTATGGACCAAACCTATATACCAAAAAGTTCTCTATCAGAAGAAGCACATCTTTCTGGTCCCTGTATCTCCAAACATCCATTTTGTTTAAAAAAACAAAAACAAAACTACTATATGAGACTAATAACTTACAAAAAACAAAACGGATCATTCATTCAACAAATATTTATCATTCCAGGTTGGTTTAGGCTCTGGTAATATAATGTTGAACAAAAACAGACATGGTCCCTTCTCTTACATAGTTCACAGTCTAGAGAGATTTATCATATTCGAAAGGTTTCACTTTTTTAATAAAAATATTCCCATCTAAAAGACTGAATAATATAAGAGATGTTTCTTTTGTATTTAAGTGAAAATGGAGTCATAATGTCTCAAATATTAGGATCAAAGCCAAAGTCAAACACGCAGAGTAGGGGCCGGTACGCCGACTGAAGGGAAAGGATTTCTAGTTACATAGCAAGGGTGTCTAAATGTATAATTTGTGAGCCCATCCTTTATAAACTTGAGTTCAAAGATAAAAATCTTTGGCACGTAGTCCCAGTTGCTTTGAACTACAGTTTTAAAATGAATTTAGCTAAGCTTTATTGTCATCTCAGTTTTTAAAATTATTTGTTTGTTCATTTGTTTTGCTTGGAAAGTAAAACCGTCACCCAAATCAACTAGTAGAGTGAATTTAAAAGGTGGAAATGGCAAGAGAGGCTGCACCGAATTATCCAATCTGGTTTTCTATAATGGTCAATTTTTCCAGATAGCTGTTTATTTCTTTTACTTTGCCTCAGCCTAAGAAAAGATGTAGGTCCTAAACCTTCGCCCTCCGCTCCCCTCCTCCACAGTGGCCAAATAGGATTTACAGAAACTAGGACCAATCCACACAATGATGCGTGTACAAAGATCGTCATTAACAACTGCGAAATAAAGAATCTCCTTGGTAATATTTAAAAAAATATATTGACAGTAGTTGAGTCACATCGTTACTTGTCAATACCTCTCCCGAAGGTACAACGAACGTTTGCATTTGAATGATTGTTCTTCATTTCCTGGACAAGATGTGAGTTTGGTGTCCTGGAGCTGCCAATGTACTCAGTTACAACTACGCCTGTGTTAAATCCATAATTCGGCTTTAGAGAAAATAAGAAATGATCAGAAGATGTTGACTTTAAGCTAAATTTATCAATCAAATGAATTGAATTGTTTCCAAGAAAAAGTCATACAATTTCTTTTCATGGAAAATGTTCTTAAAATGTGGTCCTCAGACTGGCAGCAGCAGCATTACTAGAGAACTTGTTGAAGTTGCAAATTCTTGACCTTCACTCCAAATATCAGAAACTGTGGGGGTGAGGCCCATCAACCTGTTTTTAATGAAGCCTTTCAAATGATTCTGATGTGTCTTAAAGAGACATAGGCATAGATTTTGTCATAGAATATAGATTGAACTTAAAAATTACAAGAACATATTTGTGATGCTGTCAATGTATAATGAGAAAAGTCCTGAAAAAATAAATAAATCCGGTAAGGAGAAAAAGAAACTAAATTTTTCCTGTGGTTCCTAATCTAGTGACTAGATTTTATCTTTCCAAAGTGATAAACAGATGCCTTAGCAGAAGAAAAACTGGCTCATGAAGCCCTGATAGAAGGTCACAGGAAATAGTTGCTTCAAATTTTGCGCAACTGTTGGTTCTAAGGGAAATTATTTTTTTCTTTTCAGCTAAACAGTTATTTTCTGTTACTTGGGAAAATATTTTTTTTAGCTAAGAAAGAAAAGCTACTTCTCACTTTCAAAACACGCATCTACAAACACAGACAGACATTTGTACATAGACAGATACATGAGTAGTTTCCACGTAAGTCTGTCTTTTAATGTTAAAATTTTACAACTTATGGAAAGGTTTAATATTTGGTGTATATGGCAGATATGTAAATTTAGCTAATTATATTTGTTTCTTTATAATTAAAATTCAGTTTGAAACATTATGCCAAGGGTCCTAGACATTTCATGTGTAATTGATACATTTTTCCATGTGTTTGATAGAAGTATGGACCAGTGGGATAGATTTCCTGACCAACAGGAGGACACTGATAACTATTCAGAATCTGTGAAGTTTGATGCTCGCTCCATGACAGCTTTGCTCCCTCCGAGTAAGTAGAAGAAGGGTGGGGTGCCCGTGGAAGTTGTCCTTAGACTTATAGACACCATGTAAAATTATAATCTTGAGACATACCTTAAATGTGTATAAACGTTAAAATAATTCTTATTGGATAAATAGGTCTTCTCTCTTGAGATGGAATAGAAAATAAGCTTAAGTTAAAGTAAAGAAGCACTGTAATAGATTAAATCAGTCCACAATATTGATTGAGTCCTCTGGTTTCGCAGCCACTGAACTAGGTCCTAGAGCTGACTATGACCCTAGAATCATGAATTAATATTTGAAAATCACAGGTGGTCAGTACTTGTATTTGTTTCTTAGGACTGCTGTAGCAAATTACCACAATTTGGGTGGCTTAAAACAACAGACATTTATTCTCTCATAGTTCTGAAGGCCAGAAGTCTGAAGTTAAGGCGCCAGCAAGGCCATGCTCCCTCTGAGGGCTCTAGGGAAGAATCCTTCCTTGCCTCTTCCTAGCTTCTAGTGGCTCCTGGGAATTCTTAGCTTTCCTTGGCTTGTAACTGCGTCATTCTAATCTCTGCCTCCAGCTTCACGTGGTCCTCTTCCCTGTGTCTTTACGTGTCCTCTTCTCTTCTTATAAATACACAAATCATTGGTTAAGGCCCACCCTAATCCACTGTGACCTCATCTTAACTTGATTACACCTGCAAAGACCCTGTTTCCAAATAAGGTCACATTCACAGGTACCAAGGGTTAGGATTTCAGCAATATATTCTGGGGGACACAACTCAATCCACAGTAGTGCTGAAACAGATGTTTGTACAGGTTATAAGAGCTCGAAAGGAGCAGTACTCAGCCGTATCTGGGCAGGCTCCTTTAAGGCAGCAGGACGGAGTTGCTTATAGTTCTGCTAAGCTTTAAAGACTGAAACATTTTGCCAAAAGTATGGGGTGGATGGGGGAAGAGCCATAGAGATTTTTCAGTCAGAGGAAGCAGAAAATGCAAAGATATAGGATTATATATGAGTTCTTACATAGACAAACCTGAAATACAGACCACAGTCCCAAGGCATGATGGATCTTGTGTGCCCTGCAAACGATGAATGGAATGATATGGCACCAATGAGACAGAAGGAAAAAAGATAATGGTAAAAGCTGTTAAAGGTGGAGATTGAGGAGAGAGGACAGAGGCATTGTGGACAGAGAAAAGCAACAGAAACTTTTGAGAACTAATTAAAAGGCAGAATACTGAGAACTTACTGTAAATTGCAGATAAGGGAGAAGATGACTCGTGGGTTTCAGGCTTAATCAACCTGGCGGATGGAATATTCCATCTTGCTTATATTGTGGGTTGTTCTTTTTGGTTTTGTTTAGATCTTTTCTTTCCTTTATTTTCTTTTTGTTTTCTTCTTAAAAATTTCCTCTCCTTTTCAATCCCATTATCAAACAATGTCTAAACCTTTGTGTTTAATTTAGGAGTTTAAAACCTGAAAACAAAATTTACATCTTTATTGAGCAATAAAAGCAATGGTGGTAGGAAAGAAGATTTTAACTGATGTTTTATTCATCTAATGAGAGAAATGTCTTCCTCTTCTACTAAGATTCCCCTCTACATCGAGTTATCTTTTCCACAGTTAGCATCCCATTATGTGAATCAGTGTTGAATATAAATGAATAATGCTACAATATTAATATGTTCTGAAATATCCAGGGAATGGGCTTCATTGATCCATTCTAAAGTTTACTCAAAATGTGAATAATTTTATTTCATTTTTTCTTTTTTTTACGTCATGTTCAAATCATAAGATGTATCCAAATGCAAAATTACTGAGATGGAATTGGAAAAGAAAATTTGCACAATTACTATTGAAAATAAATGATTCTTTTATCTGATTTAAAATCTGAAAAAAATCATAATTATATAGTTATTTGAGGAATTTTATTTTCGCCCAGAATATATTCCAATATGAAAGAGAAGAATAAAGTTTATATTTGCATATGTATCGATATTAAAAGTTACCAACTATATACCACAAAATGAGACAATACAACTTGCAGAGGGTAGTAACTTTGTCATGAAGTTTAGATAAGTAAATCAAATGTCCATAGCGATACCTGTATTAGCTTTTTCTGTGACTATCCCTTTTCCTTCCTACTGAATAAACAAGGACCTATTTTTTTTATTTCTTTTTTATTCCAATAGGCTTGGTAATAACAATATAATTGGAGATTATAAAAATTTTAATAAAATAAGAAGAGTAAGTTTTCTAACTGTAGGTTGGGATTTTGTTTTTTTTTTAGATCCTAAAAATGGCCCTGCCCTTCAAGAGAAACTGAAGTCCTTCAAAACTGCACTGATTGCCCTCTATCTCCTTGTGTTTGTAGTTCTCATACCTATCATCGGAATGGTGGCAGGTACAGTATTCTAGAGTTCTGAAACTCTGCCACTCATCCTGTGAAGTAGTTATTGTAGAAGCAAAAAGAAGCATTCAGTTTTTTGTATGTGGGAGATTCATAAGGGAAACTTCATATCACAAAGTGTCCCTCAAATTTATTGAATGAAAAAATAGATTCTGCAAAGTTATTATGTGAAAAAAATAGAAGAAAAAGAAATAGAATAGAAAATGAAAGATTAAGATAAAAATATAGATATGTGAAGGTAAGATGGAAAAGATTAGACCATTTCAAAAATATGTTATCCTCTGAAGTCCTCTATACTTCTAGTGGTGGATCACAAATTTCATGATAAATATTCTAGTTGCCAATGTGAAGATAAAACCATGACCGTTTTCATTAACAATGTCTAAAATATAAACACAAGCCAGTTGTTCAGGAAAAGCTTTTCTACTCTTAGTATTGAAAGAAATATGGAAAGAAATATTCCTGTAAGTCTTCAAAAAGAGGAGACCTTGCGAAATAATGGACTGCAACTCAGTAATATCCTTATAATTTGTACAGTCACATTTCATAAGGCTATTATTTAAAATATTTCTAAAAATAACCTGATAGCATCCTTTCAAAGAAAAATATTAAAAAGGACACTTTACATGGGCTCAACCTATTTTCCAGGTACATATTTCTTTGGAGAGTCTGGCTCGAATTGGGGATAGATTTGAAGGCTTCCACAGAAGTGGATGGCTTGTGTGTACCTCAAGCAAATCCATAAATACCATTGTCCTCAATAGCATTTTTGATGGAGTTGATTGGCATTTGAATCTATATGCTTTGTAGCTCTCCTCTTCTCTCTGACTGGCAAAATATCTGGACATACGCTCTCACCAGAGAGAGACTGGGAGTAAGATACACTTTTATGTGCATACTGATCAGCTTAACAAGAAAATGCTCCTAAATACAACGTCAAACCTCCCTGCTAGGAGGAAACCTAAAGGAATATTCCAAGACAGCCAAAATTCTGCTAGGAAAGAAATGACAATAAAACAACAACAGTTGTAACAATGCCACCAGTTTTGAGTATTTACTATGTTCAGGCACTGGGCTATAAACTTTCCACAGATTATCGTGAGACGTCATTACAATTACCCATGAGTAGACATATACTTATCCTCGTTATCCACAAAAGGAAACTGAGACTGCTCAGTAGTGGAGCTGGACTTGCCACCCATGACTCTTGATTCCTAACCTCTATGGTCTACTATCTCCCGGTGTAATTGGGTTTTAATAACAAAATATGGTTGGCCAATAAAAAAACAAAACAAGAGTTGTCATAGTTTTAGCCAGGAAAATATTTTCCATAGGTAAAAATTAACTCCTATTTTGACCACTAAAAACAAGCAAAAACAAAAAAACTAATGACAACAAACTAAACCAATCAACCAACCAAACCAACCACAGCCATCTGATGTGTCTGTCATTAAACAGTTAACTTCTTGATCAACTGAGGCTATCTGTATGTTGTTTGTGTATACGTTTATCTGTAGTTTGAAATGCATAACTGAAGGATGCTTCATTGTTTGGGATTATTAGCTATAAGCCAGTTAGAATTGGGGTAAATTTCATTACTTTTATACAAACTGTAGCCTGCCGAGCCAACCCCAGGGAGTACAACTTCTTTCTAAGAGGCCCGCGTAGAATGCAGACAGAAGTCTGAAAACAATTCAGGGTTCCAACGAAGTTCAAAGTCTCTAGGCTATTAAAAAATACTACTAAGTCAACACATTTGTTCTAGAGTTTACAGTGATTGATATGAAGTAGTTTTGTTTCCTAAAACTACAACAGGTACCTATTAAGATTGGACAAGAAGCTAAAAATGCTCAAATCTTATAAGTTCACATTAGTACCCAAATTCACCAGAATTTGGAACAGATCTCACTGTGTCTATAATACTTGAATAATAAACAATTGACAATCCATTTACAACTTTAATTAAGTTGTAGATGAGAATATTTTCCAAAAGGAACTAAATGAAATACATATCTCTACTTGACAACAAAAAATTATAGACAAAATATATCCCTAAAATGAAAGAAATTACTCTGCTTTTGCAAATAAGAATCAGTGGATACAATAAAATGTTGTGTATAAAACTCTATTTAAATTTTAAGTGTCTTATACATTCAAAGATATTTCTTAATTAATTTATCTCTTAATTTCTTAGTAAATTCTACTCCATATGATACCTTTTCTTGAAGAAGCTACCAGATCACTGTCATAGTATAACAACATAAACTGTCTCTGGACAATAAAATATAATCTAGGAATAATGTATATAAATTGTTACTGAAATACTGAAGATTCTTTAGCTCAAAATATAGTAATTTTTTGGTAGTAGAAGATATTCCAACATGAAAGAATAAATGTGATCTGTAAAATCAAATGTAACTCACTGCCTCGGTCTTTGCACAAGCCATAAAAGTTTGTGTGCTTACAAACGTGAAACAGAAAAGTCATGAAATACCATGTTTCTGATGATAATGAAAGAAATGAACATTTGAAAATATGAACTCTGGCATAAAGAGTTAAACATTTTTAACGAATATAAGTTTAAATTAGTTTTCATTCAGGATTTAGGAAAACAAGCAATGTGTTTTTAAGTCTATAAGTAAGATGTAGCTTTTATTGTCAACTCATGATGAACTTGATGTCGAATAAAAACCCTTGGTCACACAACAATTTCGTCAAATCAGGTCTTTTCTTCCCATACAGTGAAAAAGAGTTGCTTTACCCACGTGAAATACAAATTGTGTCCGGTGAAAGAAACTATATGGTTGAGTTATTAGATCAATATGCCTAATAAAATAAAGCACAGAGACAGCTGTGCTCATCGGAACATGCAACTTCCCACCAATTTTTTGTTATAGAATATTAATTCCCCCTAGTTATCAAAATTGGGCATACAAATGCATAAGTCACAGATATCAAATCCAAAATATTAATAATAACAAAAAAGAAAGTTATCAAATGCTTATGTGCCAAGAAATGATTTAAGCACTCTACATATATTAATTAGCTCATTTAATTATTTAAACATATCCCATTTATACAGATAGTGAAACAGAAGCATTGACAGATTAACTTGCCCAACGTAGCAGCTTATAAAGGAAAGAACAAGAAGTACTAACCCAGGCAGTTCTACTCTAGAACATGGATTCTTAACTGCTACCCCAAAATGCAGTAATCCTCATAAAAGGATAGTTTTTAAGGGACTTTGAAATAATTTTGTAAAACTTGTTAGTTTGGGTTTCTGATTGTTAAAATCAAAATCCATTCCCAGTCAATTTTATATTCTCAGAGTTGCTCAAAGTTTGCTTTATACATAGTAGTTGCTTAATAAGTAAATCATAGAATTAATGAATGCATGATTGAGCCTGTCCATCCAAAACTTGCTCCCCATATTTAATTTATTAAATGTGATGAGATTCAACTAAAACATTTGCTTTTTTGTTCACTTTCTTGATAAATTAAGTATAAGATAATACATACTCAATATGGCCTCTGTTGTGGATCACATCAAAATATAGTCACACATATTTTATTAATTCAAATAAGCTAATTGTAAAGAGAATGCAACTAGGGAAATGTGATATAATGTGTTTTTTAAAATTAGGATTTCATGGGGCCGGCCCGGTGGCACAAGCGGTTAAGTGTGCGCTCTCCACTGTGGCGGCCCGGGGTTCGCCGGTTCGGATCCTGGGCGCGCACTGATGCACCGCTTGTCAGGCCATGCTGTGGCAGCATCCCATATAAAGTGGAGGAAGATGGGCACGGATGTTAGCCCAGAGCCTGTCTTCCTCAGCAAAAAAAACAGAGGAAGATTGGCAGATGTTGGCTCAGGGCCCATCTTCCTCACCAAAAAAAATAAATAAATAAAATAAAATTGGGATTTCATTGCATATATAATTCAACTCTTATTCTTACTCTAATAATAGCTACAATAGCAACCATCATCAAACAGCTTCTTTAAGTAAATGTGGTGAAGACAGTGTGCGCTGTAACTAAGATAGTATCTTCCATGAATAGGGCACTTAAAGTTGAATAAAGTTTTCATATGTGCCATCTGCGTGCTTTGAGATTTACATGCCTTACCTCATTCATGCTCAGCACTACTACTGAGGTAGTTATTACTTTTAGATCTTTGAGGAAAGCTAAACGAGAAGATAAGTAACTTGCCCAGAGTAACCCAGCTAATAATTGAGGAGTGGAGCGAGATTCTAGAATCAGGCAGCTGGTGCCTGTCTAAACGCCAAGCTCTCATTTATATAAGGGGTACCCTGAGCTCAGTCAGGGTGGAGCTAAATGTTTTTCATGCATTATCTCCTTTAATTCTCGAAAACCTATAAAGCTGGTATTATTGCCATATCATTGGTCTGAAGAAAACTAACAGATCAGATAGCTGTTTATATAGATGTATTTTTAAGATTTTATTTATTTATTTTTCCCCCAAAGCCCCAGTACATAGTTGTCTGTCATAGCTGCACATCCTTCTAGTTGCTGCATGTGGGACGCGGCCCCAGCATGGCCGGAGGAGTGGTGCCTCGGCGCGCACCCGGGATCCGAACCCGGGCCGCCGGCAGCGGAGCGCACGCACTTAACCGCCAAGCCACGGGGCCGGCCCTATATAGATGTATTTTTAAATCATATAAAATTACTCTTCTCATTGCTTGATAATGGTCAAATAGGGAAAGTCTTATGCATTCAAACTAATATGAATGAGAGACTGATATGTATGTAAATAAAAGTTATAAAGAATATAGATGGGTAGAGAGAGAGATGAAAAAACAATGAAATCTTAACCATCACAGATTAGTGATAAAATAGTGTTTGACATTTTCTTCATTGTGTATAATTACATATTTTTATCTGCAAAGTTAATGTTTATGCTTTTGATTTTTTGAAGGATAATTAGCTTGTTTAGAGAACATATGCTCATTTGGAAATACATATCAGCATCTCTGTATGTCCCCAAAACACCATTTATTAAAATTTTTTTCTTTAGGAAATAATTACTCACAAGATTGTTCAACAAAACATTGACTATATCAGTGGAGACAGGCAAACTAAATGTATGGATTTTGTTAAATACATCTGGTAGATCTATACATAAAATACAATGTAGTAATTTAAATTATTTTTGTGAAACAATATTAATATGCAAAAGTCTTTATGAGGTAGTAGTAATTAAAAAGTAGTTTTCAGATTTTATATAAAATATAACCTTGCTTTTGTAATAATAATATGATAGTGGAAACAGCTGATTTGATATGCATACGCCAAAATGTTAGCATTTAACTCAGAACAGTGAGATTAATGGCAAATTATTTTTCCTTATTATCTATCCTTATTATTACTTTTCTAAATTATCTGCTGTGAATATATATTTTATAGTAAGTAAAGAGGAGTCTTATAAAAACAATATTTTTAAAATAAAAACAATTATTTGTTCAATTTTCTGCTTCACCATCTACAAATTAGTCCTGTGTAAACTGAAAATGACAATCCTCTAGTAGCTTAGTGATAAGATCAGTGAGATGAACCAACAATTTATTCATACAGTGGATACAGTAGATAACATTAATTCTTCTACTTTTACTGCACATTGTTTTTGCCATCATCATCATTCATCTTCATAATCACTAACATAGTCAACGTGCTTACTTCAGACATTGTGTTAAGTATTATCTCATTTTATCCTAATAACAGACCAGAGGAGTAGGATACAATGCACTTAATAATGTTTAGAATTTACTCTTACTGTCGAAGCCAAATGCAATGGCCCAGAAGATTCATCTAAGTAGCAATTCAGAAAGATTGACTTAATTCTGGAATAAATTCTAAGGTAAAGTGAGAAAAGGAGACTTGTTTCCCTCTCAGCAATATGCCTAGTGTGGTTCATACACTGCATATTTAAAATAAATACCTGATTTAGGAAAGCATTCATGATGTTAGAATGGAATAGACTGAAAGGTATGGAATGGAATGATACGAAATGGAATGGTGTATGCATTTAAGGACATAGGCCATGACTCTGTTTGTTTTTACTTAAATACGCAGCTCAGCTCCTGAAGTGGGAGATGAAGAATTGCACAGTCGATTCAACTAACGCAAATGCTGTATTTCAAAGTCTCACTGGAAAAGGAAATGACAGTGAAGATGAAATGAGATTTCAAGAAGTTGTTATGGAACACATGAGCAACATGGAGAAGAGAATCCAATATATTTCAGACACAAAAGCTGATTTCATAGATTCAGAGCATTTCCAAAATTTCAGTGTGATGACTGATGAAAGATTTAATGATGTTCTTCTCCAGCTAAGTACCTTAGTTTCCTCAGTCCAGGAACATGGAAATGCAATCGATGAAATCTCCAAGTCATTAATAAGTCTGAATACCACATTGCTTGATTTGCAGCTCAATATTGAAACAGTGAAAGGCAAAGTCCAAGAGGATACACTTAAACACCAAGAGGTAAGAGTGTTTGTATTGGAAGATCTCATGCTGAGATTGAATCCATCTAGATCCTATCTCCTCAGACAGTCCAGGAAAATAAAAGTTGCAAACCCTGTTTTAATATCATCCTACTTACCCTGATTCCCTGGCAATCTTACCAGAAGTTTTCGAGTGGATTTACCTAGTACTTTCTCCAGATTTCCAGAAAAGGGGGAGTTTTTTTCCATTGGATATATACTTTTTAAAGGTATTTTAATTTTATAAATCCTGTTAGAGTGCCTTTTAAGACTCTCTAAACCAATTATAACTTTTAGATTATGTTAGTGTATCTGGTGACATAGGTACTCTATATTTGTAAATTTACAACAGACCTCAAATTTCTTCATCATCAAAGGAATAGAAACCTAATTTACATGGGTAACCTACAAAATCTAAATTTTAAAATAGTTTATTTTGTTACTCCCAAGAAATATGCATACTTTTTTATCTGTAAAAATAACTATTATTAAACAACAAATTTTGAATAACATATACATATCATCATAGGATCAAATGCACAAGACAAGAGAGCAAGACATAATCTAGACTAGTTGTCAGCAAAAATTTATTTGAAAAGGGCCAGATGTAAACATTTTAGGCTTTTGGGACCACATGGTCTCTGTCACAACTACTCACCTCTGCCATTGTAGCACAAAAGCAGCTGTAGACAATATGTAGACAAATGAGTGAAGCTATGATCCAATTAATCCTTATTTACAAAAACAGACTTTGGGAGCCAGCTGGGTGGCATAGTGGTTGGTATTGTGTGCTCCACTTCGGCAGCCTGGGGTTTGTGGGTCTGGATCCTGGGCGCAGACCTGCACACCACTCGTCAAGCCATGCTGTGGTGGTGCCCCACATACAAAGGAGAGGAATATTGACATAGATGTTAGCTCAGGGACAGTCTTCCTCAAGCAAAAAAAAGATAGGCAACAGATGTTAGCTCAGGGCCACTCCCTCACCAAAAGAAAAACAAAAAGAAAAACCAAACAGACTTTGGCCCATGGATCGTAATTTTCTCACCTCTGCTCTAGACTATTCTGTGGCCAACTCTCTGGATTATTTGTATTGATGAGAAAGAAATTAAGAGGCAAGTAATTTATTTCAAAATTGTATTATTTTTTGTTGTTGAGTAATTATAATTGTTCCTTTCCATGAAAAATAAGCATATGACTAAAACTTCATAACTCATGTGAAAAAATAATCTTTGTATTACAAAATATCTAAGACTTAAAGTCATAATTAAAGTGAAACCTACAAAATTTCCCCCATTAGCTAAGCAATGCTGGCATCTTTGTAGTAGATTTTACTTGAATAGACCCATGCTTAATTAAATGATGTTGTTTTCTGTACAGATACAATATCACACAGTAGTGATTTTTAAAAATGGATGTCACTAATAGAAAGCGAGAAGCCTCTAAAGATAAAACTTCAGATGAAAACCACCTAAATTATTGACTAAAGAAGAGACTAAACAGGTCAAGAAAGAATATTCTACATATTTATTATTTGTAAGGTGCTATCACTCAGAACTTTTGAATTTTTACACGGTCCTTATCTTAAAGGGTCAGAAGACCATGGCGTTGCTGTTTAAATATGGACTGTGTTGGTGAATCTCATCCCAATAACAACCTTAATATTCTGCTTCCATTGCATGTCACATCTTCCAAAATCTGACCGTTAGTGTTTCCCATATGGTTAATCAGTATCTAAGCATATCAAATGCTATTGGAATATGCAAGGACTCGGGCTATGGAGGGGTTAGAGAAAATGTACAAAGAAGAAACTGTCCATAGGATTGAGGAATAAAGGAGACAGAGGAAAATAAAATGTCAGTTATAGGAGTAGAAAGTGATGAAGTTGGAAGGAGAGAGGAACAGAGAGGAAGTATTACCTTATGTAGAAACAGGAATGGGGGAGCAGTGAGAAGGCTGAGGAGAGAGAGAAGATGGACATGATGGAAGAACAAGGATATACTTGATGTTGGTAATGGCCCCAATCCAGCAGAGACTATAGAATATCTATGAATCCACATAAATAAGGAGTTGAAACCAAATTGGAAACCATTTGGAAGTCAATAAATCCTGAACATGTTTGAAGTGATAGTTAATGGAAATAATAAAAATCTGGTGCTCAGTGAGCTGTTTGCGTTGGATAGATTGCACTTATGTTTTGAAAGGGTCCCAGTGTTAGAAATGGAGGTACAAGGGAATAGAGGAACTTCCAAAGCTAATTTTTTTTTTCAAAGCTGATTTTTTTTTAAAGGCAATAGTCACTTGTAGAGATTTAGAAACCAGGTCAGTGCTAGTGTATATGTGTGTGTGTGTATTTATGTGTGTGTGGATGTACACATTTGCTCACCGAAAACAATATTCAGACTCTCACCCCGTTGCTTAAACAATTTTATACATCTTCAAATCTTTATTCCAATTCAGGAGTAAGTAAATTAAATGAACGCCTGAATCAGTAAATGCTGTTTGAGGAAAAGGCTTATAAGTGATAACAGCAAAATACTTGTGAAGGACAGACCAAGCATTAATTTGAAAGAAAAAAGAAGAACACTGGCACAAAATAAAAGAGGTAGAATTTATCGTCTCCATTGTGCATAGAAAGGACTGTAAGACTGCACAATTAAATGCCTGTTTCCAGCAGTGCAACTGATGGTAGCGTGTGGAATCTGTGTGTGGATGCTCTAAAGAACTTTTGTAAAAAATCAAATGCACTTTCCCTCTTCCCAATAGAAATTATTCAAGTGAAATCTGGTTAACATGAGCACCATATGCAGTTTTCAAAGAAGGGAATAAAAAGGCAGCCTCAGCTTTAGGTAGGAAAAACAAGGGCGATTCCTGGGTTTTAGGTGGCAAAATCACCAGCTAGTCCCCTGACCTCAGCTCTGGGGACATCTGGAGCTACGTGACATATCTGCAGCAATTTGTAGCCACTTAAAGTAAGTCGAGCATATTTATCATGTTGCTGTGCTCTACGAGCATCCGTGCTCATTATTCCACCTTTGTACCATATCGCATAGAAAATGCCAAATAGTCAGGGAATGAGGAGGTAAAGGGTAGAGATATTCTGATCTAGAACAAAGTTTTCAATGCGGGGAAGGCTAAGTTAGAGCAGTGAAAACTGATAAGTCTCTCTGCTTGAGTATAGTGCCATTGAAGAGACAAATCTGGATATAGGTTCATTTCTTTTCAGAGGTTGTACACCCTGACTGTCTTGACCCTCTCACCTCAACTTGTCCAGTCCAGTCGAGGAAAGTGTAATTTTCTCTCCATACCTGGGTTAAGGAACAATACACTGCTGGTTTATTTCTATGAGACTCTATCAAACAGTTAAACATAGAAGTCCTTAGATAAGGGTAGAACATACCATGAAGACAGAGGATGCAATAAAAGTAGAAGAGACACAGAAAACATTCCAGAGTAGATGAGAAGGTTTGGTACATCAGAAAGAGAAAGACCAACACCCAAAGGAAAACCAAGCAAAAGACTTGAAAGGAAAAAAGTAACATATAAAAATATTGTCAAAAACTTGATGACTGGATGCTTAACTTCATCATAACTTGAAAAGCAAATTAAGTAAAAATGATTTATTATGCGTCTACTCTTATTCTGCAAACTAAAATGTGTTGCTGGTACCCAGAATTTGGGTGCAAAAAGTAGGCACTGATACACAATTAGTAAGATTAAAAAAATGCTACCATATATTTGAAGGGCAGTGTGGCAGTATTGAGCAAAAATTTTAATATTTAGTCCCTTTGATAAGATCCACTTCCAGGAAGCTGTCATATAGAAGCATTTGTATAAATATGTAAAAAAAATATATATGATAGTGTTCATTGCAGCACTGTTTAAAGTTGTAAAAAAAGTTCAGATCAAAATTCTATCAATAGGAATCTTAAATTATGAAAAATAATATGATATAACTCCACTAAATTATTGAAAATAAGACAGTCTCTAAGTATTAAATAGGTTATTATCCTTAATATATTATCGAGTGAGAAATAAAAGCATATTCCAGAATGTAGTATGATCTCTCTTGTTCACACTCTATATATATGCATGTATGTATGTAAATATACACAAAATACAAATGTATTTGAAAACACAAAATCATAACGAAACCTCAAATACAGAAGTAATAAAAATTGAAAGTAAAATATTGTTAACATGCTAATGAGATTTTATTGAATATGAAAAGCTATCCTTAATGTTCATTACCACTGAGAATTATGACATTAAACTTTGTTATTGCTATAAAACAACTTAATATACAAATTATAGAATTCACAGAATTGGTATATGTTGCTACTTTAAGGACAGTATAAAGAAATTTCACTTCAGATAAATTAAAAACCATATAAGTTATTTTATTTTATTTGTAGTATTTTGACATCTATATTTGGGAATAGAAGCACACCTTAGATATATTCAACTAATTTTTTTTGACAGAGGATGTGACAATTCAGCCATTCAGTCAAAAGAGGAAATGCTTCAAAATCAAACAATTACTATTTTAAAACAGTTCTCTAATTTCTGTATTGTTATTCCATAACATTCCTATAATATATGTTTTTTAAAAACTTGGCTTCCAGGGCTTCTTAAATATACATATTTGATAATTATGTGTATAACAGGAATTGCGGATGCTTGCTTATGTTTCACAGGAGATGAGTATATTAGAGGAACGTGTGTACAATGCATCAGCAGAAATTGTGTCTGTGAAAGAAAAATACGTGCATTTGGAACAGGAAATAAAAAGAGAAGTGAAAGTATTGAATAACATCACTAATGATCTCAGACTGAAAGATTGGGAACATTCTCAGACATTGAAAAATATCACTTTAATTCAAGGTAAAATATCTTCTCATTCCTCCAGAAAATGATATATTAAAATGTACTGATATACGCAGAGATTTGGTATTCGAAATCCTAAGGTTTAAAATAGTTTTTGAACATACATTTACTACAAATCTCCAAAGGAAGGAATCTCGAGATCATGTCAAGTCACGGTAAGATAACAGTGTCCTGATATCCTTTGAACAGAAAGTGATAAAAATGAAATCTCTCTTCAAGTCTAATAAGTCATTGTTCAAAATATCTCACATGTGTGAAGACAAATTTTCTGTAAGGCACAAAGTTCTCTACTTGTCCATAAATCAAGCTTGTTAATTTTGTTCTTCAAAACTTTCAGATTCTTTCTTACTTCTTACTTGATTATACTATTAATTAGAAAGGTCTTTGAACTCTCCAAAATAGCAATGAATTTGTCAAATTCTTCTTCAGTTCTTGGTAGTAAAACAAGTTGAGTTAAATCTTACTGAATTTTAAATTAATATATACATCATATATATTTTTACACTAGCTTTTAGATATTACTTACCTTCCATTCCATTCCAATATCTTCCCATCGGACTTGGAATAACATCTAAACTCCTACTTGGTCTAGCACTCATCTACTTATCTGCCTTTATTTTCTAATTTTCCTTCTGGTATTTCCTCTGTCTGACTTAGAAATCTGGAAGAATGGAGGTGCCATTAAAAAAGTGCATGTCAATAAGAAGGAAGTGCTAGTTTCACTTCTTGTTGCCCGTAATGTGCACCAGACTCCTCCTCTCTCTCTTTAAATGTTCTCCTCTTAGATCGCCACTGCTTCTTGGCTCCACTCCAAATCACCTTTTTTAGAGATAATTTCTCCCTCCTCCATTCCCAATCTTATCCCCCATCTCTCTCTATCTCTCTATATTTGCTTTAACTTCCTCATAGTACTTACCACTACATGAAATTGTTTCCTATATACATTTGCTTATTTGTTTATCATATGTCTTCTCTAATAAAATGTGAGCTCCGTATGGCTGAGTCTCGTCTCTCTCGTCTATCCCTCTATACCCAGCACCTGTTACCCTGGTATATAGTGGGTGAGCAATTATAAATGTGTTGAAAGAATAAGAGAAACTAGCATTCCTTCTTATTAAGTTACCCTTTGTAATGGCAGTGTCGTTCTTCCACTTTTCCAAGATAGAAATTTTAGTTGTTTTTATTCTTTCTTCCCAGACTACCATTAGTTACGTTCTATATTCTTTATCATCTTGTCACTTCTTTATATTCCTGTGTAAATTATTCTTATCACTACTCTGCAGATTGAAATAGTCTCCCAAGCATTTCCTGCCTCAGTCTTTCAGACTAAATCCTTTCTACACTCTTGATAGAATGTAGCCTTCCTAAGGGGAAACCCTAAATTGCAAAAAGCCTGTCTATCGCCTCCTTGTTAGACAAACATTTCTCTCTGTAGCACTCAAGGTCTTCTATAATGTGTCTCAATTACTTTTGCATATCTCATTCCCTCCGCTTTCCCTTTTTGATATGAAATATTTCAATTGATTTTACTGTGATTCTAGCATACTCATACTTTTTACATCCTGCCTAATGCCTTTTCCTTCACTTGAAATAATATCTTTCCTCTTCTATTTGTGTCTGAATATATCTATCATTAAATGTCCATCTAATATGTGAAGACTTCTTTGGTTCGACCTTGATAATACTCTTGCTGATACTTACATCTTGCTTAATATTGAACATTAAGTATCCTTTCACAAGAAAATTTTTCATATGATTGTCTTATCTAGAATTATCCCATACTGTCTTCTAGTGCAATGTTGTCTCTTCTTAGAAACAATAAGTTTCTTAAAATTAGGGACTATTTTTTATATTCTTTACAGCATCTAGCCATAAAATAAAATTTTAACAAATATTTATTAAACTATAACCCAATAGAGATATATTGTATAAATTAATGGGTGCTTTATCATTTGTTGGTTGTAGGATCAGCATCATTACTTTGTGTCTCTCCTCTTTCTATTAACAATTGCTAAATAATCATGGAGATAGAAGACATAAAGATACTTTAATACATTTCTCAGTAATTATAGTAGTTAGAGCCTAAAGGACTAAATGAAATTTTATTGTTGAAATGGTGAAGTAGAGTTTGGTGGAGAGTGGGGGATAACATGATTGAAAGAAACAAAGTTGGTGAACATTCAAGGAAAGAAGTTAAGAGAAATAAAATATAATTGGCTCAGTGGTGAGAAAAGATAACACATTTATTTGAAAATATTTTAAATGTATTTTCTTTCCAGGATCTAAAAGCACCAAAAATATCTATCTGTCTGTCTGTCTATCTATCTGTCTGTCTATCTATCTATCTATCTGTCTATCTATCTACCTACCTACCTACCTACCTATATCAATTTTAATGGTAAGGAAGAAGAATAAGCAATTGATAGAATTTGAATTTGGAGATTTGTGCAATTATTATTGGGATGTAAAAAAATGGATTGTGTCTTTAACAACTATGTAAAGGAAAAATTCATCTCAGAAATAATGGAAGAACAGATGCCAAAAATGAAGTCAACTAAGTTTGGAATAGCGTAGCCTAGGATGCCAGGAAGGAAGTGTTCTAGTTCTGGTTTTACTCAACGAGCTTTAAGACCATGGGCAGTTCATTCTCTCCGACCCTCTCTAAGTGTGTTTGACTAAGGAATCTTTAAGGACTCTTCCAGGTTAAATATTAAGTCAATGAACATGAAACTGGTATCAAAAAAAGGTTTAAGTAGCAATAGCCTGGAAGATTTGGCAGATTTTTATCATGATCTAAATATGAGGCAAGAGTAAGAATGAAGTAGAAAATTTATGATCATAATGAATAGGACATAGAGAAGCACAGCTCTGGAAATTTATGCAGATATTATTAGTGTGATGTTGTTATTTGAGGATTTTAAATGGTATGATATGCCTGGGTGTCCTCTTCCACAAAGACATATTATATTTTTTTTAAAAAGCTGACACTCAAGGAAATACAAGGGTGGAATAGACAAAATACACTCAGATCAGATGAAAAACTCTAGAATAGTCCACCTGTAGGATAAGGAGGATGTGAGCTACAGCAGGGATGGAGAAGAGACCAGTCTTGGAAGATAACATGATAGTATTATGTTGACAATGTTCTCAAGAAGCTAAGAGAAAAGTGGTATATGATCTGTGTACTTCCATCCCCCCCCCAATATCTGAAAGACACTAAAAACATTTGTTGAGATACTTCCCACATTTTGTTCTAGGCGGTAGAGGAGATGTAACAACGTATAAAAATGAAACATAATATAATAGGTGAGATTAATGTTACACGAAGAATAAAATAACAATAAAAGTATATCATCCAATACACCTAGTTGGAACTCTTTAAGGAAAGGCCTTACCTACTTTTCTTACTCAGATTCAAATACTTGGTATCAGTATTTTTACGTAAAAATACACAGAGAGGATCTTCAACTCAGAATTTTATAAAATAACACAGATATATTTGTTATGATTGAACTAATACTCCAACATTAGAGCTGCATACAGTCTCTATACATGGTTACAGGAAAAATAATTGACCGGATAGCGATTAGGAAAGAATTCCATTTCTTACCTTCTAAAGAAATGGTGAAAACTCTTAATCTCGGAAGCTCAGAGCCTAGATCTACTCTGTGTGTCCCTTGTTTCTTGTCTCACACATTCCAGTTTTTCCGGAATGTCTGTCTTGCTTTAGAACCCTAATTACTAAAGCAAAATCTTTCCTTGTGCTTTTTTTTTTTTTTTCAAGTCACCATCCTTGGGTACTGTGGATTTGCTTCTTTTCAATTTACTCAGCAAAATTCAGACTGCAAATTGAGTCTTTCTGTCCTGCTTGCCACCCCCCTCTTTGTCGCTGTGTAGCGACGAAAGAACTGCAGCTGTGTTCATGGCTGTGCCAGTTAAACCCCCTTTGTTGGGAAGAACTACATTCTGCACGGAATAGGAGATGCACACAGATTCCCATTGATGTAGAACCATGACATGTCTTGTGCAACACCTAAATATATGTCTCCCACATTAAGCTATAGCTTAGGAGAATTTGCTTGCATGATGATTAGGTAAAAAAAAAAAAAAAAGAATGCAACCAAACACACACACACAGAGAAAATAAATGTTAATGGTTATTCTCTTAAGATGATAGGATTATGAATTACATTTTCCTCATTTTTTCTAGGCTTCTATATTTCCTATAATAAGTAGAGTTGCTTTTGTAATGAAAATGCAGTAAAACATTACTGCCCAATGTTGAGTATGAAGAGAAAGGGACAATGTACCATTGAGAAGAGCAATGATATTTTGAAAATTGAGTAAGCAGGGAAGGAAGGTTCTAAAACCCAAGTTGGACCTTGAAAAAAAGAAAAATAAGAGAAATGTAGAGAAGCAAGGAGAAAGACTACAAAAGCAGCAGAGAAAATGGACAGAATATACTTAATCATGAGATAATCTTTATCTACTTGTGTGGCCCCCTCTTAGAATTCTTCAAGTATTCTATCTCTCCACCTGATTAAAACGTGTAAACAAAATTTGTAGACCAGTGATGCTAAGTATAGTTGTGTGTTGTCCTTGGGCTATGTACGTGGCTGAACCACAGCAACTGAAAATGCCTCTTTTAAAACATTGCTATTTGATTATTCTATGGTATATCCAGGTTAGATTCTTCCTTTTGGAGTTGAAAAGAAAATAGATAAGCATTCTGCTTTAAATGAAGGGAATAATATTCATCCTGTGCACTCCATATAGAAGAGGGAATACCAGTAGGATTACCTTTAAGTTCTAAACACATACTCAGTGCCATTATTCTAAAGAGGTGATCACCGGATATCTGTTTTGCTGGGCACAGAACATTCAAATGACTAAATCAGTGTTGATCAAACTCAGTACTCAGGGGACACCTGGGAAATTGTGAGGCCAAGTAGTCAAATTTTTCCCTGCAACCTCTCCAACTTATTTTATAGTGTCTATATTTACCTAGGGATTCTACTTAATATTTTGCTTGAAAAAGTAGTTGTTCACTCATTTTTACCTTCCTGCCTTTCCCCACATCTCTCCCACTTACCCAGAGTTCTCTTTCTTCTCATTCTACCTATGCTTCAAAGCACCCTTCAAATCTTTCTCCCTCAATAAAGTCTTTTCAACCATTGCTACTCATGCCTCTCTGCGTCTCCCCAACAAATATCTGAGTCTATCATTTTCAACAATATGGTTTTTCCTTGTCTACTATGTATGGATTTTTGTCTCCCTGAGGGTATCACACATGACTTATAAGTCCTTACTTATACATTTTCCACTCAATGTATCTATACTATGAGCATCTAGCTCAATCTAGTGAAATCTGCCTGGTATGTACAAAATACTGATGTGGGTTTGTGCCATCGTTGACTCAATGTCTTTTCTCTGCCCTCAGGTACTGAGAACCTAGAAAAGTGCTAAGCACACTTAAATATTTAATGTATAACAAGGTTGTCTAATTTAGGGCTATCTCATCCTTACCAGTGTAGGGCATTGCACTACTCAATAGCAGAGTATGCCTCCATTCAGAACGGTAAGTCTTATTCATTCTATGTTACTGCCCAACAAATAAGAGACTGAATTTACTTCGACAAATGACAAATCCATTTTACCCATGTTTTAAAACTACAATCAGTAATTGTAATTTTTTTTTAAGGTCCTCCTGGACCCCCAGGTGAAAAAGGAGATAGAGGTCTCATTGGAGAAAGTGGTCCCCAAGGAGTTCCAGGTCCAATAGGTATGATAATAACAACTTAATCATATACTACAGATCTGGGTAATATACATCCCTGTGTGTGTGTAGGGGGAAAGAGCTATTTGATTTATCCCCTGTGGGATGAGTGTGTGTGTGTGTGTGTCTGCATGTGTGTGTGTTGAGGGGGATATTAAGTGTTCCAGCAGCCTAATCACTATAATGTACTGAATGGTAAGTTCTGACTCTTAATTTTTGAGGAAGTTAAATGCTTTAGCCAGATCCACGGCATGGGGTTGTTATTAAGTCTAGGGAATGCTGTCTATAGCATTGACTACGTTTATATCTATATCATTGACTGCAAACAGTATATGGCAGACCTAGCTTTAGGTCACATATGAAGGAGAATATGAAAATCATCTTCATATTGAATATATTTGCAAGTTATCTGGTTTTTAAGATGCAAAAAAAAACCTTTAATATCAGCCAAAGGCAAATTGGGTTATATTCCTTATATAATCCTTAACTGGCATTTATCTGCTTAAACCTATGAAATCTGAATGTAAATAATGACTAGACTACAGATGACTTTTACTTTTGCTGTCACCCACTCTCTGGATTTTACTTAGAGCAAAATTGTTTCAAATTATTTTACTCTGTCTATGTTGTAATCTTGAAAGCAATATTTTGAAAGAAGATAACAGAAGACAGAAAAGGAGAAAGAACATGAACTTTCTTTGCTCTCAAAAACAAGAGACAATAACAATAACATGATTGTCATGTTATTCTTGGCTAGAAATCAAATACCCTGCATGCTTTTGGAAGGTGGGGAGTATATTGCATGGTCTAATTATATAGCATGTTTTGTGCTGCCAAAACAATGTCTAAATACTATGTACTTCATCTTATTTTTGTCTTTTGATTGTATAAAATGTTCTTCTTTGTGATCAATGTATTGACTAGCCCAGGTTACATCAGAAAAATAACTTTTAAAAATAAAGAGCATGAATTTGACACTTTCCTGACCTTTATAACACTGTGCTTAAAAAGTCAATATAGGGGCTGGCCAAGTACGTAGTAGTTAAGTTCGCGTGCTCCACTTCAGGGGCCTGGGGTTCTCAGGTTCGGATCCCGGGCGCGGACCTATGCGCCACTCATCTAGCCATGCTGTGGCAGGCATCCCACATATAAAATAGAGGAAGATGGGCACAGATGTTAGCTCAGGGCTAATCTTCCTCACCAAAAAAAAAAAAAAAGCCAATATATTAATTTTACATTAAAAAAGGTCTTAAAATTATTTTAAGGAAAAAAAAATCTGTTTTATCTATCTATTTATAAACATTTTATATATATATATATAGGATGGGTTGTTGGTGTGCCTTTGAAAGTATTGCCAGATATGATTCTTAATTCACAAGTCTTTCTACTTGACTAGCACTCAGGAGATCTTAACAATGGTGCGTTAATGTCATAAGTAGAAGTAACCAGTATTATATCAGCTGCCAGAGCTGCTATTGTCAAAGGTCCGTCAGCTCCTCCGTTCTAAACTGCAATTGTCAAAGCTTTATAACTCAACCATAAAGGTTCAGTCTGGGCTATAACTTGCCGTACAAAGCTTCATCTTGAGAGCATCTTTTGCAGCTCTTTCTGAACTATGGATGTGTGAAATAGAAAGAGGGATTTAAAAGTTTCAGGTTTGGTTAATATCGTAAACAGATACCATTGCAAAGCTGCTTTGATTCTTGTAGTGAGAGTTTAGTCTGTTACTGTTGGTACTGCTCATTTATACAAATAGGCATTATCTAGCCCCTCATAACAGAGAGTTCGATTTCATTGTTGTGATGATAAATTGACTCTTTTAGATTATTAGGTTGCCATTTGGTTTGGTGCACTGTGAGAAAAGTATTCAAGTTACCAGGGATCTCTCCTAATGGATTCTTCCCCACTTAGTGGCTGCATATTCTGTTTTGTTCTCTGCCAGATTGCCCAATTGCCCTATGCTGGGTACTGGATTCAGGAAGTTAAGAGTATATGAAATACTGCTGTGATAATTCTGCTTCCTCATTTGAGCAAGTTCATTAAAACTCCACTTATATATCCAGCTGAGTCCACTAAACTTAGTTTGGCAAAGTCAAAGTCACCTAGACTCATAACCATGATATGAAAATGTGAGAAACCTAAGTACTTATCCTAGTGGTTTTAAATAATCATATATTAAATATATTATAATCGTTACTCAAGTACTGGGGTGGATGTTATGTTAAAATATGCTTTACTTCAAAATAATATAAGTCCATTCCAGAGTATCATTTCCCTGGAAGCATGCCAAGGAGAATGACCTATCACCTTTTACTCAAAAAAATGTTTACTGCGCCTGGTGCTCTCCAAGGCCCTGTGGAATCCACGCGCATAGATAGAGAGTCTCTGCCTTCACAGAACTTATAATATGATAAGTAATTATATAAGGGTGATGAACGTCCTGACAAAGGATTCTTGATCTCATCTGAGATCCTTTGGGGATCACTTTTAGGGTTATTCCCCCATGACAGCAATGGTTTGAAGAAAGGACGCCTTCTTAATTCCTAAAGGAATCTTTTTGTAGGCCACCTAGTGGGCCATTTCTGACCTGTGGGATCAATAACAGGGTAGCCTGAGCTGTAGGCATGGGGAGCACTACCTACATAAGATGCCTTGAGAACCAACCAAAGGCTCCTCTGGCTGCAAAATTTTCATCATCAACCAATGTTATTTATTTTTCCTATATAACCTGAATTTTCCACTGTAGGAATCATGCCTCTGGAGGAGAAAATAAAGTCCATCCTTTTTGGGGATTGGAGGACAGGAACCATATTTTATTAATGTTTATACTCAGGCATGTCTTTACCCTGCTCCACCACTCCTCTCAGTCTATGGCCCAGAAAGGCCTCTCCTCCAGGCTGCAGCAAGGACAGTGCTCCCTAAAATATACATTTCAGGAAAGAATGTTGCCAGCTGGAGGCTGTTGCTCTGTGCTTGAGTATTGAAAGCGGGTTTCTTTGGGGGGTAACAAATTGTGCCAATGAATCCAAAAATTTCACTGCTAACTATGTACAAAAGATGGTAATTATTATATTACTAAGAAGAAGAGGTTGGGGAGGAGGAGAAGAAGGTGGGGGAAGAGGAAGAGGAGAAAAAGAAGAGCTAACACAAAGCATTTATGATATGGCAGGCACTTAAGTGTTTTGCATTTACTAGCTCTTTTAATCATCACGTCAAACTTAGGATGTAGGGACAAATAATATGCCCATTTTACAGATGCACAGGGAGGTTAAATGACTTGCCTAAGATCAGTCAGCAGCTGGTAAGTGGCAGAGCCAGTATTTGAACCCAGATGGGCATGATTGCAGAGTCCATGCTCTTAACCAGTCTGCTGGACCACAGAAAGAAGGCTTGAATGGAGAGCTGAGAACGCAGAACATGTGAATAATTATCAGACCAGCCTGATACAAATGGTTTGATCTCTCCGGTCTCCTGTTCCTGCCTCTGCAAAATGACAGATTTGGACTGGGTGATTTGTAAGGTCCCTCAAAGCTCTAACATTCCATAGCTGGGATTCTGGGTAAAATATGCTTATGTTGTCTGTAAGTTAGAAGCAGGTGCCAGACCTTTTCCCTTTGCCACAGTCAATTGCAGAAAATTAGCTAATTGTCACCTGAAAGGCTCAGAGACTCTGTTCTCTTGGAATAAAATTCAATTGTGGTGCTTATATTTAGGGGTCATATTTGCAAACATCATTAAAGAAACAAGTCACATAACTCTATAGGCCATATAGAGTCTGCTTAAATATCTCCCATAATGAGGTCTAATGATCGACTGATTTCAGTGAAAGTATCACATGTGCTTCATTTATGGATTCATTTGAATTTCATGGATTCATGGATTTAATTTATTTGAAGATGTAACATAATTCCTGGTAGAACAGCTGTATTCTGAGTGTCACTGTAATGTCCTCAATGAGCCATCTTTAGAGAAGCTCTTTCTGATCCCCTTCTCTAAAGCAGATCCCAAGCCATTCTCTGTTACATTTCTTCATTTGTCTAAAATTATACTCTCCAAAATTACCTTTTTTATTTTATTTGCTAACTTTCTTACATCTGTCTCCCCTTACTGTTTCTCCACACCGGATGATCTGTTTGGATAAAAACCTTTGTAACTCCAGGAATGGTCAGGGATGTACAATGTGCATGCACAATATATTTTTGTGGAATTAATGGAGAAAATGGTAAAAATGGGAGACACCAGTGAGTGGCACTCTATAAAGAGTGGAGGATGTTCTAAGATAAAAAGTAAGAGAGTCAATGTTTTTATTTGTAAGTTTGAGTGACAGATCTTAACAACTGTACAGGCGGAGGTCTGACTGCCTTGCTTGGATAATGAAGAAAGATATAAATATTAACCTATCAGCCTGTCCCAAGAACTAATGTTAGGTCTTTTTTAGGCTGTATGCTATGAAGTCCAGCCAATATATACTGCAAAGTGGTATATATATATATATATATACTGCAAAGTGGTATATATATATATATATATATATATACCACTTCATTTATGTGTGTGTGTATATATATATAGCATATGTATATATTGTACCTATGTCAATATTGTGTATATGTATATATTGTGCTTATGTATATATTGTAAATTTGTATATATATTATATATATACACAATATATCAATATATATACAAAGTATTATGTAACGAGTAATTAAATTGAGATGACCTGACTTTACTAATATTTTTAATTATAACTTATCATTTTATTGGTTTAGATATCTGTTTAATTTCTGTTGAAATCAAAGTTTTACACTGGGTTGAATAATATTTAACTATTTAGAATAATATACCTCTTAAACTGAACATTTCTTAGAGAACACTTAGCCCAATTTTAGGTGTCTATATGAATGAATCTCAACAAGAGATTTTCTAAATGAATTAAATATGTATAAGCTCCAACTCCTGGAACTTGTAAATTAATGGCAATATATTAAAAGATTAACATTGGGAAAAGATGTACAATCAATTTTTCATAATGTACTTTCCAAGGAGTTAACTGAAAATTGGGTTAATAGGATCTCTGTGAACCGATAATGACATCTAAAATGAGATTTTTACAATAGTTTATCTCAAACCACTGGACTCCAGGATGAAATATTTTATTCCACAGGAAAATAACATTTGCTTTATTTGTAATTTTCAGTCACCACATGATTTGGGGTAAAAAAAAAAAAATGGCTGTTTTCACTTAAGCATGTGAAACCCCGGGTTTGCATACATATATAATATATACCCATAAATGAATCTTTGTATACTGTACACACAGATACACACGTATGTGTATATATATATATATATAGTTACATTATTGTTTGGGATTACAATGGAATATGTAAAAAGAAGCCCATAAGAGATGGAATAATATATTCTAGAACTAGAACTCCTATTTTTTAAATAAATACTCTTTGATACTTCTTATTGCTTGAGTTGTGCTTTTTCTAGAACAAATCTTAAGAATTCAATTTTCAGCTTATACGTTTTCAGAGTTATCATTTCAGCTACAGCAAAATCCTGCCATTCAAAGATTTCTGATTAGACTATATAAGCCTTCTAGTTAAAACTCCAAAATTTTTTTTCTCATTTTTTTTTTTGAGGAAGATTGGCCCTGAGCTAACATCTGTTGCCAATCTTCCTCTTTTTTTTCTTTTTTCTCCCCAAAGCCCCCAATACATAGTTGTATATCCTAGTTGTAGGTCCTTCTAGTTCTTCTATGTGGGATGCCACCTCAGCATGGCTTGATGAGCAGTGTGTAGGTCTGTGCCCAGGATCCGAACTGGTGAACCCCAGGCTGCCAAAGCGGAACGCGTGAACCTAACCACTGCACCACCGGGCCGGCCCCTCTCTTGTGCTTTTATTTGTAATAAAAATGTATTATTTTTGAAGATCTACAATGTACTAGATATACCAATGTTCTACTTACTGTTTGTATTATCTATCAATGGCACACATGAAATTTTAGGAAAGATATTTTCCCTCTATTTGGAGATTCACCTGTTTCATATTTATTAATGAAGCTAGATTGTTGCATTACACTCTCAAATCTATGTGGAAAATGAATTATTACCACTGTGTTTTTCTTCATTATCCATGTAGGTCCTCCAGGTCCTAAAGGTGATCGGGGAGCAATTGGCTTTCCCGGAAGTCGAGGATACCCAGGATCGACGGGGAAGAGCGGGAGGCCAGGTATTATGCTAACGTATATTTTCTTTATAGAATATGTAAAATAAACACCAGTTCATAGATATTTTGTTTAACTTCTTAGGTAACAAAATGGTGGTCATCATAGTATGAATAGTAGCACTCACGTGCGGTTTGTTTTGTGGTCAGAAACATTTTGAAACTGATTTCTCTCCACCTGAAGAAAGTTTCTATGTCCCTAAGGAAAGTAGTTAAAAAAAAAAAACAGGATTTATAAACTCCATGCAACCTTAAATCACCACGAAAAATGCTATCTTAGAACAAAGAGAGTGGAAAGAATGGCAAAGAAAAACAAAGTGTAAATATCTCTTTAAGCTGTATTGACCAAACCTTGTTCAATTACAGTAAGCAAAATAGAGATAGGCCCGAAATCCTACTATGCAAGATAAACTGCCTGCTATTATATATTAGTACTTAATAATCAACAGTATTTGGGCCCTTTAAAATTTACATACATGTTGATATCGTTTCTACTCCTTATGCCAGTAGCCTAAACTTGAACTGTGAACCTTGCACAGAAATTTTAGAGGGGGCAGGCTTATTGTTTCCTAATTTCAAAGTAAAGTATGACCAAGAGAGTAGAATCCTTATCACTGATTTTTGATAGATTTTTTTAGAGCAGTTTTAGGTTTATAGAAAAATTGCACAGAAAATACAAAGAGCTCCCATATACTACCTACCCACATAGTTTCCCCTGTTACTAACATCTTCCATTTGTGTGGTGCATTTGTTATAACTGGTGAAACAATATTGATACATTATTGTTAACTAAAGTCCACAGTTTATATTAGGGTTCACTCTCAGTATTGCAATGGGTTTTATCAAAGGTATAATGACACTATGTAGCCACCACTAGAGCATCATACAGAATACGTTCACGGCCCTGTGATTCAGATCCCCTGTGGCCCATCTACTCGTCACAACCCCCTTCCTCCCCAAGCCCTAGCAACCACTGATGTTTTTGCTATCTCCTGAGTTTTGCATTTTCCGGAATGTCATATTCTTAGAATCATACTGTATGTAATCTTTGCAGACTGGCTTATTCCGCTTAGCTATATGCATTTAAAGTTCTTCATATCTTTTTGCGGCTTTATATCTCACTTATTTTTAATGCTTAGTATATTCTAATGTATGGAGGTACCACAATTTTTTTATCCATTTACCTGTTGAAGGACATCTTGTTTGCTTCCAAGTTGTGACAGTCATGAATAAAGCTGCATAAGCATCCATGTGCACATTTTTGTGTGGACATGAGTTTACCTAGAAGTGCGATTGCTGGATCACATGGTAAACCTATGTTTAGTTTTGTAAGAAACTGCCAAACTGTCTTCCAAAGTGGCTGTGACATTTTGCATTCTCACCAGCAATGAATGCGAGTTCTTATTGCTCAATATCCTCACCAGCATTTGGTGTCATCAGTGTTTTGGATTTTAGCCATTCTAATAAGTGTGTTGAGGTATTTTTGATAGTATCAGTGTTTATGGACTGTGTCAATGGCAATTAGTATTGGAGAAAAATCAGCTAGCCACAAGCAAGCAACTTGCCATCAGTCTCCCCCAGAGACCCGATCACCTGAACTGAATGATGTATTTATGTACTGACCATCTCTAAAACTATCTAGCTTTAATCAGGCCTTTTTGGCAATGTGGGAAGAAGTGTGTGTGTGTTTGTTAATTTGCTTGACCTTATCTACATCGCTCAGGAATTGCTGAATTTCCTAGATGAGCAGTTTGTGTTCAATAGGTAAATATATTTAAAAACCTTGAATTTGACAAAATTGTGAAGCTACTTATAGATTCCAAGATAATTCAAAATAATTCTGAGAAGTGAGAAAACATATTTTATCTGCATTCTGTTTTCAAGTCAAAATGTTGTCTTAAGTCTATATCTATCTCAAATAGACAGACATTTATTATCCCTGGCAAATTCGTGGTAAGATTTTGTTTGGGACTCTTTCTGGAGTGATCTATTTGTAACTTCCTATTTACATTAAATAATAAGGATTAACTTTATAAATGCATATCACTATGAGCTATGAGTAAATTAGAGTTACTAATTTGTCTTTCTAGAAAGTCTATTTGAAAAGAGGAAAAGCAGCAGAAATTTTAGGAATGTTAAGAACGCCTCACTATTTCTCACAATTGTCTGTCTATTAGGCACAACCTTTCTCTCTGTGTGGTCAGAGAAGAAGATAGGAATAAATGACAGAAGAGACATGAAACTATAGCACAAATTAACTGATTTAATGAGCGATAACTGACCTCATTTATTCTGTGCCTACATTCTCTCATACAATCTGCTTGGACCTGGGGGTACAAGACAAGCTAGTTCCCCATCCTTGAAAAGTTTCCTCCCAGAAATTTCCTCACAATGACCTCTCTTCAAAAGTATAATCAAAAAGATGATTCTGTAAAGTTTATGTGATGTATCTAATCTGAGGTTGTTTGTTTTGGAGGATTAAACGTTTGTCAGAGTGGTTTGAACTTGAATTTCATGGTGGCACAGAGTCAATCCATGCATATTATTTTCTTTGCCATCTTGGAAAATACAGGGATAGCCTAGCACATATTTGAATCCTAGATTTGAATCCTACCTCCCCACTCAGTCAGCCTCTCTGTGCCTTGGTTTTGTTATCTGCAAAACAGGGCTAATAAGGGGACTCACATTTTAGAATTTCTATAAAAGTCAAATGAATTAATAGATGTCTTAAGGTGCTTCAAACAGTTCCTATCACACAGTAAGCTGTATATACAGGTTAGTTATTAGGCACAGCCTGTACAAGCTCTAGGTTTCTTCCTACTCTTAAACTCCTAGAGATCAGGAAATGCCCACTAGTCAAAGTACTTGGGAGAGTATTCACTATTCATTCACCCAATCAACACAATTTTATGAGGATTCACTGTATGCTGGAGATAAATATAGGAAAGCCACTGCCCTCAAGGAGCAGGGGACAGTAAAATATAGAAGCAATTAGCTATAATGCAATGTGGTAAGTAATAAACATTTGTGAAGTAGGACAAAATGCTATGGGAGTATAGAGTCGAGTCGTTAATTCCACACAGCAAGACATTATGGTACAGAAGAAATGGTGTTAGTGCTGACCTAAAAGATACATACAATTTCTTTAGGTCTCTGGTTCTCGAACTTTAGCAGGCATTAGAATCACCTGTAGGGCCTGTTAAACGAGCTTACTGGGATCCGCCCCTGGAGTTTCTGATTCAATAGGTCAGAGGTTGGGTTTCCTCCAGAATTTTCATTCCTCACAAGTTTCCAGGTGTTAGTGATGATGCGGATGCAGGGACCACACTTTGAGAGCCACATCTTCAGGTAAAGAAAAGGAGTGGAGGAACAGTGAAAATAAAATCAAGGGAAGAGGTAATAAATCCCTTGACGAAAGATGTCCTTAGGACATCTCTTCCTTATAAAAAGACTCAAATTCGGTAGAAATGTGACCAGAAGGGCCTCGTGCTACTTTAGTTCTACTTCAGATGAAATCAAGGACTAACACAGAATCCTTCCTCTACAAGAGCCCAAAGAAGGTGGTAAAATTAGAAATAAAATCCAATAATTGTCACAGTCTAACTAATGACACAGCCTGGACTACCTGAGTGATATTGAAAGCATTATCAGATTTCAAAGCAAAAAATTCAAGAAAGAGCACCCCTATTTATTTTCTCCTATTTTCTCTTCTGCTCTCCTTTTTTTTCCTGACCCCTCCCCCTTCCACACGTATTAAGTACCCACTATATATACAAGGTACAATGCTAGCTACAAGGAAATGAGAGGTGAATAAAACATAGTCTGTAACTGATAAGATACACAAATATGAGAAGAGACAGGGAAGACTTCATGCTTTCTCCATGCACAGCAGATCTATGGAGTAGAACATTTACAAGATCTGACGTATTTGCTTCAGAAAGCTTTGAAGATTTAACTGAAGTGTAACCTTATGTATCTTCAAAACCCCTAGAGGCCTCTGGATATAACCTTGTTAAATGAACTAGGTTTTCCACCAAGTAAACAATGCGCTTGTCCTCCAGTTAGACTCTTAGAGTCCATTCAAAGTCTGGTTCTACTAAGCGTGAGTCATGATCTTTCTTAGGAGTATCTAAATCTATAGACCATAAATAATTCATTTATTTAGTTGACAAACATTTACTGAACACTTTCTCCGTCCATTCACAAAGATATTCATAGATATTTCAATATCTGAGTTTGGAGTTCAGAGGAGAGGCGAGAGATAGAAAGACAAAGCTGTAGCGATGATCAAATAAATGTTCACTGGAATCAGTGATTTTAATAATATTTCATGGATAGACAGTGAAAGGAAGGTGCGAAGAGAAGGGGCCTAGGATAAAGCCTTAAGTAGTTCCAGAAGTACAGGCTGAGCAGAAACAGCAAAGCAGTAGATTGGAGTGAAGCAGCCAGAGTGAGGGAGAAAACCCAGGGAAGGTGGAGTGAGAAAAGCCAAAGGCAGAGGGAGTTTCAAAAGGTGGTCGAGTAAGATGAAGTGTACAGAAAGCTCTTTGCATTTGTTGTTATAAGGATGTTGCCTTTATTGGGGGCAGTTTCTGTGGGGTGGGGTGGGGTGGGGTGGAGTGGAAACCAGATTGGGGAATTCTTAGAGGTGAACTGGCGATCAGGGTTGTAGATGCCAGTAGACCCAACTCTTGAGCAGTCTGGCTCTGTAGAGCAGGAGACAGAAATCAGTTTTTTGTTTGTTGTGTTTTTTCATTTTATTTCTGTGAAAGAGAGATTTGAATATTGTTTAAATGCTGATGGCAAGATACAATAGAGGAGTGGTTGAAGACACAGAGGAAAGAAGGGTAGAAAGATAGTGTAAGGTTAAAGAGAAGGTTGAAGGTGAAGAACTCGGGAAACAGGAAGAAGTGTTAGGCATAGGAGGGAGATGGTCACCTCTGAAATTGAAATAGCTGCAAAGAGTGTGGCTGAGCTAATTATGGCATGTATGTGAAAATGGCTAAACTAGTGTTCAGCTCTTGAGAGGGGCACTAGAAAATGCTTGAAATCATGATTTATTGAAATTACCTCCTATTATATTTACTTTAAAGTTGGAATGTCAGTATATTACATACTATTTACTTCTTATTTTTCAATGACTTTCAGAAATATAAGTCCTTTATTTTTTATTGAAGAGTGACATATATGACAGGAGATCGTTAACTCCAGGTTTTGACTAAGCTCTTGGGCTCGTTTTTTAGCCAAATGTATCTTTCTAAAGGAGGGATACACTCTCATTCTCTAGAATGTTTTTGATGTGTTCAAGTGTGGGAAAAGATTTCCAAGTGTCATCTGTGAGGTAATCTCTGAATCATGTAAAATTACATAAAATTTGTATTTGCTTATAAGAAGAAGGTAATTTTCATTTTCCTGTAATTAAATAAAAGGGTGATGTAAGATAAAAAAGCAAAACAAAAAAGAAAATTAATTTTTTCTTTATTAGAGAATCCTAGTGTTGGGGCCAGCATGGTGGCGCAAGCGGTTAAGTGCGTGCACTCGGCTGTGGCGGCCCGGGGTTCGCCGGTTCGGATCCCGGGCACGCACGGATGCACTGCTTGGCAAGCCATGCTGTGGCGGTGTCCCATATAAAGTGGGGGAAGATGGGCACGGATGTTAGCCAAGAACCAGTCTGCCTTGGCAAAAAAAGAGGAGGATTGGCAGATGTGAGCACAGGGCTGATCCCCTCACACACACAAAAATAGAATCCTAGTGTTATCAACGCTTAAGTGGGTCATTGACTTGATGCTCTGGCTTGAGCATTTCTGTTCTTAAAATGCCCAAGACAAGTTGCAGCATGAAAAGATTTTCAAGAATAATACACAGTCTCCTCCTTTTTCCTAACTGTGAAAATAATGCTGAAATGATAAAATTAAGCTTGTTTATTATATTATCTTCTCTGAAAAGAATTAGAACTGATCAGTGATACTCTTTTAATTCCCCTCTCTCCCAATTTTTTTTTTAACTATCTTAGACTTTTCCTTTTGAGAAATCTGAAACTCTGGGATTATATGTCTTAAAAGTATACCATCAAAAAAAATACAAATGGTTTTGGGTACTCTGTGCTAAATCAATGATATTTGCCAATTTAACATTACCTGAAATGACTGAATCATAACTAAAAAGTGAATTTAATGATGTACAATGTAATCACATATGCAAGGCAATTAGAGGCATTCTTTTTATAATCCTTTGATGAGGAATGGTTGGCATTTCATGAACTCTTCAAAATAGAACTTTAATTGGAAATTAATACTTTTTAAGTGTGAAGTCTGAATTCTCATGTTACTCATCACAGGTTATTTTATATTTTTGAATCTGGTAAATTAGGGGTCAAAAAATCTCCTCTAAGAGGTGAATAAGGGCAACTGTTCAAAAACAAAGCACAGATGAAGAGGAAGTCAACTAGAGAAACAAACAAAAAATAAAACCCAAAATAAAGATTAAAACTTTAAAATAAAATTAAAAATAATTGTGCCATATAAAGTGAGCTGAAGGACCAGCTCCTGTGGCCTAGTGGTTAAATTCAGTGTGTTCCGCTTAGGCGGTCTGGGTTCAGTACCCGGGTGTGGACCTACATCACGCAGTGGCCATGCTGTGGTGGTCACTCACATACAAAATAGAGGAAGACTGGTAACAGATGTTAGCTCAGGATGAATTTTCCTCAGGGGAAAAAAAAGTGAACTGAGATGAAAAAGTCCTTTCATTCACTGAGAATAAAATCACAGAGAGAGGGTTCTAGCTAAGCTTTGGGAGATGTTATAAAACACAGAACAGTAATAAGAGCTACTGTCTATTATGGGCAAGGTGCTTCATGAGTATTTTTGCTAATTTTCAAGACAACTCTGCAATGGAAAGTATTATTTTTTCATTTGACAGAAGAATAAGCTTTAGCTTATTATAAAGACTTATTCAGAGCCACTTACCTAGTAAGTGGCAGAGCAAAATAATTCAAGACAGGGATTTGTAAATGACTGTTATTATTCCAAAGCCCATGATTTTTAACCTATGTCCTTTGACCTCCTGGATGGAAAGTTCTTGATTTTGTCAGGGAGAATCAAGAACATTAACAAAGATTTTGACTTAGAGACAGACAGCACTATGACCAGTCCTACGTTTATGCCACAAAGGTGGTTACTTGCAAAGTAGATATCTGAGGAGTGTTGGAAGAAGAATCGATAAGCAAAAACAACACTACTCTCATGAGATGAAATTGTCACCATTAAAATCTCTTGATACCAAAGGACAATCTTCCGGATATACCTTTAAAAGTGGAACTGTGGGTGAAATAGCAACCCATTGGCAAAGACTAAGCTCCTAGCAATGTTTCCATATGTATTTGAAGTCCTGATCCACACATAAAATGACACCATTTGTACCACACCCCTATGTAAATGGCTGAGGTTTCTCAAAGCCAAAAGGTACTAGCCCAGAGGCTTCGATGCCCCTCAGACCTTCCTAGCTTTCCCCAGGACTGAGGTAATCAGGGTCTTGGCACTCCCAGAAATTCATTCACAGCCCAGTCTTTGGGATGCTCCCCGCTAAAGAAAGGGAAAACAAGATAGAGAAGTTGTAATGGGAATAGAAAAGCAAGGTTTAGGATGAGATGGACGACACCAGGCTTCCTGGGAGAGGGAGGAAGGCACAGTCAAAGGCTGAGGAAAAAAAATGAATAAGCACAAAACAAACTGCTAAACTGCTTACACCTCAGTTTTGCCTGCCTTTAGGAAAATGAAACATTTAATGCCCTTGTAAAAAATTTGAGATAATGTGTAAAGGACCTACCCAGAACAATGCCAGTTTCATAACACGGCCTCTAAAATGATAGCTATGACTATTATTACCATCATCAACATTCTTATATTTGAATATCTGTAGGTTGTTATAAGTTAATATTCTAGATTACCTTGTGATGCCTTTTCTTCATTTAAAGCAAGCATTGTGAACTGCCCTAATTTTAAAAAGTGGTTTTTTTTGCTTTTTTTTCCAAGGAAATCCTGGACAAAAGGGCCAGAAGGGGGAAAAAGGCAGTGGAAACACGCTAAGTAAGTTTATAGTTTCTTGCTTTTTTGTGTGCCTTTGTAATAAACCAGTTGTGATAGTAGCGGTCCGGGTTTGAGGCAAATGTTGGGAACTTCAGCATCAATCCATAGAGATTCTGTGGAAGTCAGTCACAGTTTTCTACAAACAGAGCATACTAATTGGACTAAAACAAATAGATTAAATTATACAACTCTTTGAATCTCATTACCCATTTGTATTTTGTTTTTGTGGTGAGCACGATTTTCTAAAAGTTCCTCGTGGAAAATTGTTCAATTTTCAAGTGAATTTCTATCTGCTGAAGGAAAATCGAGCTTATGAATAGAAACAATTACAGCCTCCTTATCTACTAACTGAGCTAACTGAAATGTTACATATAGGAATTCGGACAATCTAAGAACCTTCACAGGCTAATTCTCTGACGGCTGGGGTTTTTGTGTTTGGTTTTATTTTGCTAAAAATTTGAGAAGTGGTATTCTATACCCTAGACCTTCAAAACTGCAACAGAATAGATTTCACAACAGGGATCTTTGTTGATGGAAAGCTGATCTCATGTTGCAATGTAGAGAATCTGTAAATTGGACCTTAAAAACTAAATATTAGATGAGATGTCTTCAATATGCCGTCTTATTATAAGTCAATTGTTGTGTGTCTAGGCCCAATCTACACAGCTATAGTGAAAGGATTATGAAAAGAATTGAGAAATCCATGCTTGAGTTCTCAGAATCCAAGTGTTCCTCCCCTGGATTCCCAATAGGATCCGCATGCGATGTGTGTGTGTGTCTGTGGGAATAGCGGGCACACACAGAATCATAACCGTTACCCATCAGGGGTCTGCTTTAGAGAGATTATGGCAAATCCTTTAATGTCCCAAAAATCTAGCAGTTTTCCATTGTAATTATTTTTTTTAAAAAAATACATACTAATTTTTCTGCTTTAGCAAAAATAATTATTTTAACCTAATACTGTGTATGGATGGATGCCACATTTAGACAACTTAGGGTCACCATCATGATTGCCATCCATTAAAGTAGAGTGTAACCACATGGTACTTTCCACCATCGTTGACTCGTTGATCCATCTTTGCTCCTAAATTGAACAACACAGAGTATTGTGTCTCCTCAAAGTGCTTTCGCATTATTCAATGAATATCAGTGTTATTATTATATTAAGATAATAGAAACATTAGTATATATTTTCTCCTTTGTGTCCATTTATCCTTTCATGTGATCAGTTTTGTCTGCTGTATACTTTTTATTCCACTTCCCCTTTCTCCTTATCCTTCCATTGATTTTCAGTTGAGCTCCTTGCGTAACTCTCTCTTCCCAGTCTTCATGTTTTTCTCTCTCTTTCTCTCTACCTTTATCTTTATCTTGGTTCTTCTTTATCTTCTTTTCTCCTTTTCCTGAGACTTTCTCCGAGCTTCTTAACCTTGACTCTGGTCAAGCTTGGCAAATAAGGGACTTCTTTATTTGTAGTCTGTAAACTGAACGCTCACACTGTCTTCTGTTACCTGAGGTTATCAAATGCTTTGAACATTTTTTTCAGATATGTTCGAAAATGTTTTCAGTTACAGATATTTTTATGGCTGTTTTGGCGTTTATGTACATACTTGAAGAAAGCAATAAGAGAGATATTTTCATGTATAAGTGTATATAGCCTCCAGATTCCCCTCTATGCTCACTCCGCCATAGAGTATATAACTCTATAATGTTTCAAAGAGAGAATAATATACACAAACATCTATACATCATGTTCTGCTTTTTCCTTATTTAAGTTAATATGCCAGTCATCTGCTCATGTCAATACGTATGTCTCTACCTCTTTTCCCTCAATGGCTGCACATTATTCCATTATATAGCAATACTGTAATTACCATAATATATCATTCAATCCCCTAGTCATGAACACTTGATGGTTTTTGTTTTCTTTGATTTGGCTTTAATCAACAATGCTACATTCAGCATTCTCATACATGATCTTGTAGGAATACTTTTTAATAGAAAATTTGCTAAAAGTAGAATCAATAATTCAAAGGTGATATGCACTTTACAATTTGATGGATTCTTACAAATGGCTCCAAAAAGGTTGTACCAATTTATTCTGTATCAAAGTGCCTGGTTCCCCACATCTTCAATTAATTCTGATTAGTGAAAATTTATGTTGAATTATTTTAGTATACATTTTTTTATGTTTTTAAGGCATAATTTAAATATAATAAAAATAATCATTGATTTCCTCTTTTATATATGTGTCAGGACCAGTATAACTCCCTGATCGTATTAGGGCAGGGCCCTTTTAAGATCAGGTGGGTTGGGCAGGACACCCTCTGCTACCATCTTATTAAAAGGCCCTTCACCTCTGGACAAGTCATCAGCACAGCTGACTCCAAGATCCCTTTGTGACTCCTCCCAACGACCTTGGTTCCCGTATGGTGCCCGGCTTCCGCATGGCTTCTTCTCCTGGCCCTTGGTGCTGTTTGGGCCTCTGTTCCCACGTTCATACCTCTGCCCTCTCCAGTATCTCACCATCACCATCCCTTGCACTCCTAGCTGGGATGCTTCCCAGGTACTGACTGGCAGGCTGCTCCTGCCAGTCCTCAGAGACAGGCTAGGAGCCCTCTGCCACCCGTTCCACTAGTGTCTTGCTGAACCCAATTTAACTCATTGACTTCCAGGAGAAATCTCATGGATACTGATTATACGTGAGTTCTTTCCATTCAAAAACACTATTCTCAACCAGAGATAGGGATGACGTTAAAGAAAATCCATTTGTTCATTCACTCATTCATTCATTCATTCATTCAGCATATGTTCATTACAGCTCCTCCTGCAGCTGGATATAACAGCTAATAAAATAGCTATTGTCTCTGGCCTTAAAGAGTTAATTGTCCCTGAAAGACATAGTCATGTATAGAGGCAATTATCCAATACAGCAGAGTTATACTGGGGAAAACAGGGCTCTATAGGTGTTTGGAGGAGATCAAGATTTTTGAATTCCTTAGGATATCAAAAAGGTAAAATCATTTTGATTTGCTTAGTTTACCTTCTTTTCTTCTTATTCTCCAAATTACAGCGTATTTTTTTCAAATTTTATAATGAAGTAAAGTGGATCTTGGACAGTACATTCAACACATTTGAACCAGAAAACAAAACTTGTTTCCTCGAATTACCTGACCATTTCAAGCAAGAATATTTTGATCATGAAAAAATAATGCTGATAATTTTTTATTCTAAAAATCTCTTTGTATTTTATGCTTTAGATATCCACTATAGATCCTGGAGAAAAAGAAATATTTCAGTAGAACTAGAAATATTTTGTGTGAGTGAAGAAAGGGTCAAAAATGAGAAAGGAGAAAAGGTAGGAAAAGGCAGGAGAAAAAAAAGGAATAGGAAAAATGTGGGATTCCATGTTATTTTTGAATGTCTCTCTATTAATTAACATATCATATTTTCACAACTCTGCTTTGCTTCCAAGTTTAGCACAAAGTCCCAGAATTCACAGCCTTGAGGTTCTAGGAGAATTCTAAGTAGTGTGTCTAGGTGTATATCACTGCTTCCATTCCCTCCCCTGTAAGATAGATATCTTGACACCTACCTCACAGGGTTGTTGTGAGGATCACATAAGATACTGTGTGTATGAAGATGCTCTGTAAAATCATAAAGTGCTTTAAACATGTAAGGTATGGTTCACAGTGGTCTCTCCAAACTGGAACTGCTGTTCTTCACTGGTATAATGCAAATATTTTAAATCTGTAATCAGGAGTGAGCAAAATGAAAATGCAAGAAGCCAAATAAATGTCATGGACAAAAAGAGAGATGCTAGAGAATAAGATGAGATTTTACATTTGCTAGAACAAGGCAAGTGTGACCAGATCACAAATCAGCGAGTTTGTCTGAGCTGAGCAGCAGAGTGTAAGTTATAAATAAAAGAAGCCACTGAACGGAGTGTATGCCACAGGCCAGAAGCTGTCAACGGAGGTCAGAACAAAATGTCAGGCTAATAAAACAAGAGTCCAGGCTCTGAAGGACAAAGCATGAGTCCAAGATGCTGTTGATGAGAAAGTTCCAAGAAGGGTTAGAACAAATTAGAGTTATCAGTGATCCTCTGGGTCTGTGCCTGAGTGACACCAAAGTCTCCAGGAAAAGAAGTGAAGGGGAGGAGAATTAGCCAGTCATCAGATAGTTCTAAATATTAGCCAACTCGCAACACTGGCTAGCCAGTTAATGCAAACATCTGGAGATTAGTTGGATCTCGTCATCCATGGTTTAATTGAATGTGGCTTCCTACCCCACTCTGCGCTGGGGGACAGGTGGAGCCTGGGAGACCTCTTCTCTTGCCAGCAGGCCTTGGTCCACATTGGCCACAGAATGGCCCTGATTCCAGAGATCCTGGGAGACAATTCCAGGAGATTCAGTTCATAAGTTAGCTGGTACCCTAAACCACAAATAGATTTTTTTTTTAAAGCTTCAGTGCATGGTTGTGTATCCTACTTGTTAGTTTAGTTCTCCATGTGAGCCACCGCCACAGTATGACATCTAACAGATGGGTGGTGCAGTTACACGACCAGGAAATGAACCCGGGCTGTGGTGGTGAGAGAGCCGAATCTTAACCACTAGACCACCAGGACTGGCTCTACAAATGGATTCTTAAGTCTGTGAAATACTAGCCTGAACGTTCCAAATTAGGGGAGAAAGGCATCTCTTCTCTCTTAGACAAAAAAAGGTGCTGAATGCCCAGTTCAAATGCATAAATTATGCCAACTTTAATAATGTATAAAGAAGAGAAATCAAGACCGCACCAAGCTCTAACGGCCAGTCATAAAGTTTGTCTGCTGCGTTCTCACTCTAACTTGGAAGGGTAAGTGTTTCAGTCAAGCAAAAGAATTTCTACCATACAATGAAACACTTTGTGTGAGGTTCTGTCCTAAACATACCAGTTACTAATGTCTCATTTGTTGGTATTTTGTACTTTGCTCGCGCCCAATGAAACTATAACTAAGATG